TATTCGTTTATACAGACATGCCTATGCACGGAATTAAATGCATATCGGTCTCTTTATCAGATATATATACACACTTATCTGTCTATCTAGACGGTAGATATGCATATCTATACAGTTATATATGCATCTATTTCAGTGTATAAGCAGGTCTTTATAATGAATGCTCATTGGTCGCACAATAAAAAAAAAAAAAAAAAAAGATTAAACAACGCTATAGTACCTTCAACTTAACACTCAAAGTAAACACTAATAATTCCAACTTAATGCTGCATGGAATCAACAAACGTAATGATTTCAGCACATCAGATAAACGGACGCATTAATACTTTTAATTTACCTTTTAATACTACGTCTATAAGCAAGAACCTCACCTGGAGTAAAGTGTGGTTGGAGAATGTTGCCATCAGCCCATAGTTCACTGCTGGGGGGTTTGATATCACCCACGGGACCAGGACTAAAACACAAAAAAATATAATCAGGACTAAAACAAACAAAAAAAATAAAACACATCATAATCAGTTTTTATATTATTCAGTGTTTATCTATACCGCATTTTTTTTTCGCTAGGCATCTTTACCAAAGTCGTCTCCTTTCGTACAATATCTCTCCTTTTCGACATGAACTACCGAAAAACGACAAAATAAATATATACCAACTACTTACTGTTATAAGCTCGGGTGGCGTTGGCGAAGAGGGCGGCGAGCATCTGCGCAGAGGCGAGCGCGCCGACCACGTGACTCTGGGCGTCTGCCGGAAGGCGCTCCAGGGCGTCGTCCAGAGCGGCGCCCAGGCTGAGGGGGGACGGGCAGAGACGGTTAACTTCTGAAGGTCCGAGATGAGGAGGAGGACACATAAATAGACAAAGAAAAGGTATGAATGGGACTGGGTATCTTCACAATACATGAGATGTATTTGAACGGTTAAATACATCTCTTCTATTTTGAAGATATTCGTTATTCATACCTTTTCTATATTTGTCAACATGAATACGGTTTATAGATAGATAAATGGATAAAGAGAAATATCGATAAAAAAAACGTTAAGCTGTTAACTTCTGAAGACCCGAGATGAAGAGGATACATAAATAGATAAAACACAAATGTCGATTAAAAATTTTGGCATCCACTTAAACGGCTGATGACACTTGTTGGGTTTAAAGATAGGCTTTAACGGGATTCTGAATTCTAATCCCCACACACTTTGAACTCATGATGAAATAACTTTCAACGTTTATCCTGACATCGACATGAAAACACATTACATCAATATCAAATTTAAACGTGACCTGAAAAGAGGTGAGATCTAGTTGGTGCTTTTAGAAACTAACGCAAATATAAAATACCTACATTCTATGAAATATATTAATTATAGGAACAAAAGACCTTTCTGCTAGTAGAGTCTTTAATTCTTCTCAAAATAGCCTTTAGAACATTACAAAAACAAGGTAATCCCACTCTTACTTCGAAAAAAGTTGTTATAAGCCTACATCGACGACTCAATTTCTGCCATCTATGTAAAACGGCAATTCGGCAGACTGAATAAGGTCATAATGTCAGAAAATCGCGTAGTATTAAGAACAAGACTAAAATGCTTTAAATCTGAGTCAGATTTTCAAGGCTCACACTTGGGCTTTTTCGGCATTGCTTTTCCGCTGGCACCAACCGGGGGCATTTTGGCACTTAGTCTCACCAGCGACGAGAACCAAGGAACAGTCCGACGAAGATTTTAAACACAGCAAGATGGCTCCAACCCCCGCACAGGCTCTGGCGATGATGGACGCTATTCAGGCTATGTGGCGACGATTTAAGGCGAAAACAACGAATGTGTGATGCTAAATAACACTTGTCTTCTCGTTACTCTTCCAGACAGCTGACAGGGGAACGTGGACACAAAATGTAAACAAACAGGCGAGCAGCGAGTTGCCAACTTGTGTCTGTTCTTATTAAATACAAGAGAGAATTTTGCCAATTTTTAAATATTACCATTTTTGAATCTTTTTGAATCGTTTTATATTATGAGTAGATTTGGTTGCACTACTATAACGTTTACCTATTATAGCTTATGATTTTAACTAAAAAGCCAACGATAAGTTTCCCATCGAAAGCAATAATTGTCGTTTGACTGGAAATTATCGCATTTGGCCAATATGCCACCAGTAGAGAGAAAGTAAAAAAAACGTGTGAAATAACCACGGGAATAGTGTGACACCCCTTTAGTTTCGGTCAATTTGAAATTTTTGGTTTCGCTTATATACAAATTCAGCTACGGAGATATTTAAAGCAACCGCAGTATTTAGTATCTCGTCAAGGAACAATTTGCCTGCAATTGTACAGCCAGCAACAAAAGCGGTGACGCCTCGCCTGTCCTGGCTGAGTGAGATCATGCCTTCTTGCCCTGAAAGGAGGCCCACCTTCAAACAACCAGGGCATAGTTAGGATAGTTTGAATGTGGGGAGGTGGGAAAGTACGGAAATCAGGCGAAGAAGAGCAATAATGACTGAAATATACATGAAGAGATACAGGGAGAAGGATCGCTTTTATTCCTGTTTAGTTGTTAATTTGATAGATATATTGGAACCTGCCTTAAGAAATGAATTATTGTATATTATTTCAAAAATGATTATTAAGAAATATCACATTGTTTTATTTCAATTCCTTATCATATTTTCTATATAAAACCAAACATTGTTGGAACTGACTATTCATATTAATATTCGTCAGACGGAAATATCCTTCTAAGTATATGAAGGACGTGTATATATATGGCACTGCAATATCCTAACCAGCTACTCTCTCTCATTTCTCCGTCTTATATCACCTAGATCCGCTATTTAGATAATGATAAACTTTTGATATGTTACTTGGAAAAGAACATATGTCATTATTTCATACACCATTATATTTCGAAATGTTTACAATTATTTCGTTACCCAAAATAACGAAACGAATATGTAAAAGACAGATATCGAAAGTAATTGGTTTCTCGAATAGTTCGGAGGGGAAACACCGACAAGGTTTTGGACATCAGCCGCTGAAACGACAAATAAAAGCGTATAGTGAAGCCTTGGGTAAAGTGAAGCTTGACTCGGCAATTCGCGGAGTGAGTGAGCAAGCGTGAGCCGGGAAAGGGGTTCGCTGGGAAGTGCCCAATCTGCCCAGGTGCAAAGACTGTCAATTAATAATTTGACACTAAAAGATAAGTTTCGCAACACCTGCATCCCATATATACCGCACCATCATTTTATTAATGCACCGCTGAACACATTCATTGCTTCTGATTTTACATCATTCATATTCACCAACAGTTTCGGAAATAATATGATAAATTAGGTTGACTGACGATGCACTTTAAATCGATCTCAAACTTTTTGCCGATATAATAGACATTAATACTTTCCATAAGTATATGATTGCGAGGGGGGAGCCAAGTGGCCCAGCACACTCGAGTTGACCCCAACCAAACCGTGCTTCGCGATTATGAACGCGACTGGATGTTGTGGTTCGTAGGAGGCACCCAAACGATATAAAAAAAAAAAAAAGAAAACAAGGAATCGAACTTAAACCTTTACACCCTCATCACCTCGAAGTTTTGTGGCCCAAACCACTTATTCATGTTTGGTAGTTCAAGAGGGGCTATTTAAAACGATACATTATTCACATCCACAGTGTGTGTGTGTGTGTGTGTGTGTGTGTGTGTGTGTGTGTGTGTGTGTGTGTGTGTGTGTGTGTGTGTGTGTGTGTGTGTGTGTGTGTGTGTGTGTGAGAGAGAGAGAGAGAGAGAGAGAGAGAGAGAGAGAGAGAGAGAGAGAGAGAGAGAGAGAGAGAGAGTAGAAGGGAGTGCAGATACTAGCCTTTATAAGATGGGACTGAAACATAGCCGAACACTCACTCCTGGCTTTGCCTAGCGAATCTAAATCACCCCTTACCCCCCCCCCCTTTCCTAACCATGTCCAGATTGTTTGAACGTGGGCCACCTTTTCAGGGCAAGAAGGGCAATCTCTCCAAGCTTTTGTTGTTGGGTGTACATTACAACTTTCGGTTCCTATTTCAAACTTTTTCTCAGATTAGGACGTGCAAGAAACAACACACACACACACACACACACACACACACACACACACACACACACACACACACACACAACACACACACACACACACACACACACACACACACACACACACACACACACCCGTACAAAGAACAAAGACCAATTTTATTCATTTATATATTTATTTCATTTATTTGACTTACCTCGTGACGTCGGGCGCGTGGGTCCCATGAGGGCGGGCAGGACGGAGGTGAGCAGCGCGAGGGCCGTCTGCGCGGCGGAGTCCTCCCTCAGGGCCTCCGTCGCCTCCAGCACCTCGCGCCCTGCGGTGTCGACCACCTGCCCGGCCTTCGTCAGGATGTCCTTCCATGGGTCGGGGGCGTCCTGCGGCGGAGCAAGGATGCACGTGGTTGTAGCATGTGTGTGTGTTGTGTGTGTGTGTGTGTGTGTGTGTGTGTGTGTGTGTGTGTGTGTGTGTGTGTGTGTGTGTGTGTGTGTGTGTGTGTGTGTGTGTGTGTGTGTGTGTGTGTGTTGTGTGTGATTTATGTATGCCTGCATGCGTGTGTGTAAGTAGGTAATTACACTACTCAAATCTTAAAACGCATTTATATCAGACAGACACACAGCACCCTCCTACAATACACAGGGACGCCACTTCATAAAATCATTTAGGGGGGGGTGTAATAAAAAAAAAAACCCAGCTGAAACATATCTCTCAATTATTTTACTAAATCAAGTTCCAAATTTCCCATATTAATAACCTATTTGACAGTCTATTAAAAAAAACACAAAGACAAAACAACAAAAAACAAACACATGTTATCTTAATAACCTATTTGACAGTCTATTAAAAAAACAAAGACAAAACAACAAAAAACAAACACGTTATCAACTTTTATTAAATTTTGTTTGCCATTTGACAGACATCGACCCGACTTACCGTATCCACTTCGGAGGTGAGGTTGCTTACAGTCTGCAGGATCCGCACGCTGAGAGAGGTGAGTTTGGGGTCCTCTGCGACGCCCTCGAGAACGCCCATCAGGTTCTTCATGCTGTGAGGGGGGGGGGAAGGGGGAAATCTGGTTAGTAGGTAGGACTTTTTGTTTTCTTTGTCTCATTATTTTTTCGCTCTCTTGTTCTCTTTCTCGCTTTCTTTCTCTCTGTCACTGTTTTTCTCTTTCTTTTTGTCACTGTATCTCTCTCTCTCTCTCTCCCCCTTTCCCATTCCCTCCTTCCCTACCCTCCATTCTCCTTTACCCTCTCTCCTCTCTATTCCCTTTTCTCCCTCTCCCTCACCCACCTCTCCCTCTCCAATTCCATCTTTCCTATTCCCTCTCCCTCTCCTTTCTTCTCTACCCACTCCCTCACCTTACCCTCTATCTTTCCTCGACTCCTTCACCCTCTTTTCCTTCTTTCTCCCACTCCCTCTCCCTCTATCCCTTTTCTCCCCATTCCTTCACACTCCCTTCCTCCCCCCTTCCTTCACCTTTACTTCCCTCTTTCCCTCCTTCTCTCACCCTCCCCTCTTCCCTCACCTACCCCTTCCCTCACTCTCCCATCCCCCTTTCCCCCTTTCCCCTCTTTCTCTCACCTTCCCTTTCTCTTCCCTCCTCCTCTCCCCCTTCCCTCCTCCTCTCTCCCCCTCCCCCCTCCTGTCTCCCTCCTTCCCACCTCTCTCACTCCCACTCCTCACCCGCCTTCTCCCCCTCCCTCCACCTCCCTCTCCTCCTTCCCTCTTCCTCTCTCCCCCTTCCCCCCTCCTCCTCTCCCTCTCCTCTCTCTCCACTCCCCTCCCCCTCCCCTCCTCCCTCCTACCTCTCCATCGTCCAGCCCGTGTCCACAAGGTCCGTTATGGCCGAGGTGATGGGCTCCAGGGCGTGGCTGAGGCTGCTGAAGGTGGAGGCGAGGGGCGCGAGGGACTCCAGGCGCCCCAGGGAAGCCAGCATCGCCCCCAGCTGCTGCACGAGGGACTCTGCCTCGTAGCCTCCGATGGCCCCGAGGACCTCCGACACCTGGCGGGGGAACGGGTCAGGGGCCGCGGGGCTGTGGTTGCTCTCGTTGTTTTACGTTATTATCATTATCATTATCATTTTCATTTTCATTATCATTTTCATTATTATTATTATTATTATTATCATTATTATTATCATTATTATTGTTATTATCATTATATTGTTATCATCATCATTATTATTACTAATATTATGTATCATTATTATCATTATCATTACAGTTACAGAATTCGTAACTCCCCCCCCCCCCCGTCCCCTCCCTTGCGCCCACCTTGTCAAAGAGGCCGAGGGCGTCGAGGGCGGCGGTGAAGGCCCTGGTGATGTTGGCGGCGAGGTCGGGCGAGAGGCTGCACAGGGAGGCGGAAATGCTGGCCACGTCCTGCCGCGTCGCCGTCACCAGGAACTGAGCCAGCTGGTCGGGCGAACACACCACGCTGTGCAGGTCGCGGTAGCCGACGAGGGACACACCTGGTGTATGAGGGTTTGTGAGGGATGGTGAGGTTAGGAGGATGGGGAAGTTTATGAATGAGGGAGAGTTTAGGAGGGATGGGGAATGTTTATTTTATGCTGAGGGAGACTTTATGAAGGATGAGGAGAGAGAATTTATGAGGGAAAGTGAGAGAGAGTTTATGAATGATGGTGAGAGAGCGTTTGTGAGTGATTCTGAGAGTTTATGAGTGATAAAGTTTATAAGGGATGGTAAGAGTTTATGAGTGATGCTGAGGGAGAATTTATGAGCGAAGGTGAGAAAAAGTTTTTGAGTGATGGTGAGAGAGCATTTATGAGAGATAGTGAGAGAACGTTTATGAGTGATGGTTAGAGTTTATGAGTGATACCGAGAAAGTTTCTGAGTGATGGTGAGAGAGCATTTATGAGAGATAGTGAGAGAACGTTTAAGTGTGATAGTGAGAAAGAATTTGTGAGTGATGGTGTGAGAGAGTTTATGAGTGATGGTGAGAGAATTCATGAGTGATGATGATAGTTTATGAATGATGGTGAGAAAGAATTTATGATGGTGAGAGAGTTTATGAATGATTCTGAGAGTTTATGAGGGATGGTGAACGTCTATGAGGGATGCTGAGAGTCTATGAGGGATAGGGAGAGTTTATGAGTGATGGTGAGGGTTTATGAAGGATGGTGACACAGAATTTATAAGATAGAGAGAGTTTATGAGTGATGGTGAAAGAGCAATTATATACATCCATACCGAACAAGCCCATCAGACGTAACATCAATGAGGACTCACCCTGGACATGTTGATCCTGGCGCCCAAGATGGCAGACACAACGGCAGGGTCGAAGTCAAACTCCGTGACGAGAGTTTCGTTGAGTTTCCCCGGCGAATGTATCACGTCGCTTATCGAGAGTCCGTTTTCTGTGATGATGAAACACCTTGAGGTCCCATTTCGTGTTGTGGGAATTTTCAGATTTAGGAAACT